TTGGTTGCGTGTTTTAGCTCTGCGACTGTAAATGGTGGGTCACAAGAATTATCTTGTATCCCTTCATTGACTGTTTCGGCTAACTCCCTGATACGCTGGTGTTCTGCGTTATCAGCTTCAACTAGGTCCTCCGGATAGAAGGTCTCGGCCAACATCTTTGCCGATTCGGTGTTATTGAGTATTTTTCCGCCTTTGAAAAGAGGCAGATCTTCGTGCCTTTTTGTAGTTCTGCCGATAACCCGATATATCCCGTCCCATAACCCTTCCCTGTCCTGTCTTCCACAGAACTCCTTCCAACTTTTTACCTGAGCCTTTTTTGCTTCACATTCGTACATATTTTTCGCTTGCAGGTACGCTGCAACGACATCGGCCCTCCGCACGGGAGCGGCACATCTTATTCGGCGCTTTTTGGTAGTGGCGTCCTTCTTTAGCATAACAAGCTCATCATTCCACCACGGCAAGGTAAGTTTACTTTGATTTTTATTTTTGGGAATGGTAGCATCACAGACTTCTTTTACTACTTCTAAATATTTCTCTAAATGTTTTTCCAAATTTATACTATTTCTTATACTATCTATTTCTATTTTGTTTATTTTACTGTCGGTCAATAATTGAGTCAGTTTCACATGAAACTGACTCCATTTTGCCTTTTTGCTGTTGTATATCCTTGTTGTCCGTTTAATAGTTTTGCCAGGAGATTTTGTACTTTTAATTTTGAATAGTATTGTGTTGTGGTCCGAACTTGTTACGCTCTCGTCTACCTTCCAGTCATCCACCAATTTAAAAAGATTTTCGGAGCACGCTGTAATGTCAACGTGGCTACTGTATGTTTTACCGCCTCTAATTGTGTCAAATGTTGGCACATCTCCCTCATTTAGTATGTGTAATCCGAGTTCATCCAGAGCACCTGCCAGCGTTTCTCCACGTCCATCTTCCTTCGCACTTCCCCACCATGGGCTCCAAGCATTTGCGTCTCCTCCTATGAGTACTTCTGTTTTTCCCATTTCTATAACTATCTTTTTAAGTTGGTTGATGTAAGGTTCTATGGGTGAATCCGGTTCCAGGTACAGTGAGATCAGTCCTATATACAGGTTGTTCATTTGCATTTTAACCACCACGATGTTATTCGTGGTGAGAGTCGGACATTGGGTAACAATGATGTTGTTGTCAAAGGTTAGGTTAGGTTAGGTTAGGTTAGGTTAGGTTAGGTTCCCCCCCGAACGGGTTCCCGCCTTGTCGTGGCGGGGGGGCTTAGTAGCCGTGGCTTGGTCAACCACGGTGAACAAAGAGGAACCCCTTGGCTGGCCCGTGGTGTAGGGCCGGCCCGAGGTGGCCACTCCGAGTGGGCTTGGGAAGCCCACTTCGGATGTGTGTCGGGGGGCTGCGGTGAGAGGGGAGTCCGCACCCTCTACCGCTGCAGCCGAGGTGGAGTCGCGGAGGAAGAGGAGTGCTGGTATGGCGATGCGCCACTCGCCCTATCCTCCGCGACTCAGACGGGGCCGCAACGTCAATTGATGCGGTGGTGGTGGGGCTGCGGGGGGAGAGGAGTGTCGGTATTGCGAGGCGCCGCTCTCCCTACCCTCCGCAGCCGAATCTTGGTTGGCGGCGGAGCCAAAGACCAGATCCGCCGCTGGGGTCAGGAAGGCTAGTGCTTCTGAGTGCTAGTTTTTCCTGGCCCCATGGCCTTCGCGCAACGGACACGGGGGCGTCCGTTGCGCATTGGAAATTGGAGGCCGAGGAGGAGGGCGCACCATGTGTTCTGGTGCGCCTTACCTGAGAAGGAGATGGGGGAGGAGTGTTCCTCTCCCGAGGAGGGGCCGCCATGGGGCGGCCAGCGCAGGTGGGGCCGCGGAAGTGTGCGAAAGCGTTCCCGTGGCCCTGCCAATATGCGACGAGTGTGGAACACCATGGGGTTTTAGTCGGTGCGAGTCCGACATAACCCGTCCTTGCCCCCGCGAGGCGGGTATGCGTAGGCATTTCCCCATGTAAAAAAAAAAAAAAAAGGTTAGGTTAGGTTAGGTTAGGTTAGGTTAGGTTAGGTTAGGTTAGGTTAGGTTAGGTTAGGTTAGGTTCCCCCCCGAACGGGTTCCCGCCTTGTCGTGGCGGGGGGGCTTAGTAGCCGTGGCTTGGTCAACCACGGTGAACGAAGAGGAACCCCTTGGCTGGCCCGAGGTGTAGGGCCGGCCCGAGGTGGCCACTCCGAGTGGGCTTGGGAAGCCCACTTCGGATGTGTGTCGGGGGGCTGTGGTGAGAGGGGAGTCCGCAACCCTCTACCGCTGCAGCCGAGGTGGAGTCGCGGAGGAAGAGGAGTGTTGGTATGGCGATGCGCCACTCGCCCTATCCTCCGCGACTCTGACGGGGCCGCACCGTTGAATGATGCGGTGGTGGTGGGGCTGCGGGGGGAGAGGAGTGTCGGTATTGCGAGGCGCCGCTCTCCCTACCCTCCGCAGCCGAATCTTGGTTGGCGGCGGAGCCATAGACCAGTTCCGCCGCTGGGGTCGGGAAGGCTGGTGCTTCTTAGTGCTAGTTTTTCCTGGCCCCATGGCCTTCGCGCATCGGACACGGGGGCGTCTGTTGCGCATATGAAATTGGAGGCCGAGGAGGAGGGCGCGCCATGTGATCTGGTGCGCCTTACCGGAGAAGGAGATGGGGGAGGAGTGGTCCTCTCCCGAGGAGGGGCCGCCATGGGGTGGCCGGCGCAGGTGGGGCCGTGGAAGTGTGCGAAAGCGTTCCCGTGGCCCTGCCAATATGCGACGAGGGTGGAACACCATGGGGTTTTTAGTCGGTGCGAGTCCGACATAACCCGTCCTTGCCCCCGCGAGGCGGGTATGCGTAGGCATTTCCCCATGTAAAAAAAAAAAAAAAAAAAAAAAAAAAAAAAAAAAAAAAAAAAAAAGGTTAGGTTAGGTTAGGTTAGGTTAGGTTAGGTTAGGTTAGGTTAGGTTAGGTTAGGTTAGGTTAGGTTAGGTTAGGTTCCCCCCCGAACGGGTTCCCGCCTTGTCGTGGCGGGGGGGCTTAGTAGCCGTGGCTTGGTCAACCGCGGTGAACGAAGAGGAACCCATTGGCTGGCCCGAGGTGTAGGGCCGGCCCGAGGTGGCCACTCCGAGTGGGCTTGGGAAGCCCACTTCGGATGTGTGTCGGGGGGCTGCGGTGAGAGGGGAGTCCGCACCCTCTACCGCTGCAGCCGAGGTGGAGTCGCGGAGGAAGAGGTGTGTTGGTATGGCGATGCGCCACTCGCCCTATCCTCCGCGACTCAGACGGGGCCGCACCGTTAAATGATGCGGTGGTGGTGGGGCTGCGGGGGGAGAGGAGTGTCGGTATTGCGAGGCGCCGCTCTCCCTACCCTCCGCAGCCGAATCTTGGTTGGCGGCGGAGCCATAGACCAGATCCGCCGCTGGGGCCAGGAAGGCCGGTGCTTCTGAGTGCTAGTTTTTCCTGGCCCCATGGCCTTCGCGCATCGGACTCGGGGGCGTCTGTTGCGCATTGGAAATTGGAGGCCGAGGAGGAGGGCGCGCCATGTGTTCTGGTGCGCCTTACCTGAGAAGGAGATGGGGGAGGAGTGTTCCTCTCCCGAGGAGGGGCCGCCATGGGGCGGCCAGCGCAGGTGGGGCCGCGGAAGTGTGCGAAAGCGTTCCCGTGGCCCTGCCAATATGCGACGAGTGTGGAACACCATGGGGTTTTAGTCGGTGCGAGTCCGACATAACCCGTCCTTGCCCCCGCGAGGCGGGTATGCGTAGGCATTTCCCCATGTAAAAAAAAAAAAAAAAAAGGTTAGGTTAGGTTAGGTTAGGTTAGGTTAGGTTAGGTTCCCCCCCGAACGGGTTCCCGCCTTGTCGTGGCGGGGGGGCTTAGTAGCCGTGGCTTGGTCAACCACGGTGAACAAAGAGGAACCCCTTGGCTGGCCCGTGGTGTAGGGCCGGCCCGAGGTGGCCACTCCGAGTGGGCTTGGGAAGCCCACTTCGGATGTGTGTCGGGGGGCTGCGGTGAGAGGGGAGTCCGCACCCTCTACCGCTGCAGCCGAGGTGGAGTCGCGGAGGAAGAGGAGTGCTGGTATGGCGATGCGCCACTCGCCCTATCCTCCGCGACTCAGACGGGGCCGCAACGTCAATTGATGTGGTGGTGGTGGGGCTGCGGGGGGAGAGGAGTGTCGGTATTGCGAGGCGCCGCTCTCCCTACCCTCCGCAGCCGAATCTTGGTTGGCGGCGGAGCCAAAGACCAGATCCGCCGCTGGGGTCGGGAAGGCTAGTGCTTCTGAGTGCTAGTTTTTCCTTGCCCCATGGCCTTCGCGCAACGGACACGGGGGCGTCCGTTGCGCATTGGAAATTGGAGGCCGAGGAGGAGGGCGCACCATGTGTTCTGGTGCGCCTTACCTGAGAAGGAGATAGGGGAGGAGTGTTCCTCTCCCGAGGAGGGGCCGCCATGGGGCGGCCAGCGCAGGTGGGGCCGCGGAAGTGTGCGAAAGCGTTCCCGTGGCCCTGCCAATATGCGACGAGTGTGGAACACCATGGGGTTTTAGTCGGTGCGAGTCCGACATAACCCGTCCTTGCCCCCGCGAGGCGGGTATGCGTAGGCATTTCCCCATGTAAAAAAAAAAAAAAAAAAGGTTAGGTTAGGTTAGGTTAGGTTAGGTTAGGTTAGGTTAGGTTAGGTTAGGTTAGGTTAGGTTAGGTTAGGTTTTTTTTTTTTTTTTTTTTTTTTTTTTTTTTTTTTTTTTTTTCTAGTTCCCCTGACATGAGGAAATCAGGGACTTTTTTCATCTTTATTATATATATATGTACTTTCTTTTTTATTTTACATTTTTATTCTTTTTTGTGTTTTTTGTTCTTTTTTATTTTTATTTCTGTTTTCTTTATTTCTTTTAGGATATTTTTCTTTTCCTTTTTCCTTATCTCATTAATTCTAGTTACATTACTTTCTATTACTATTTCTTATTTCTACTTATTATTTAGGCTGTTTACATTATATATTTGTATATATTATGTTACAGTTCCTTATTGCTACTACGATTTATTCTTATTTTTCACCTTATGTGCTATATTCTTACAATATTTTAGAAACTTATTACTAACATGTTTATTACTAATTATTTTATGTACATTATCTTTGCTTATTTTAATTCCTATCTCTAATTCCAAGTCAATTCTTTGCCTACTATAAATAGGGCATTCGGTTAAAAGATGCATAATCGTCTCCTCTCTCTCTGGATCACAGGCGCATGCCGGGCTCTCCTTACACTTAAATCGGTATAAATATTCAGAGAACCCGCCATGTCCTGTTATCACTTGCACAATTTCAGGATCTATGTCCAGTTTTCTTATTATATGGTAGGCCTCTATGGCGTCGGGAAAAAATATTTTAGTATTGGAGGCTGTTTCACCTTCCTTGTATCTTTGGTTCCATTCGTCAAGCGAGCTCAGACGAATCTGTCGCTTAACGAATGAAACCGGGCATTTCTCATATATCGGTCTTGTTTTTATTTTTAATGCGGCCTCTTTAGCTAATTTGTCTGCTCTCTCGTTCCCCTCCAATCCTGCGTGAGCCTTAACCCAAAAGAGTTTAAGGGTTTTCCCTTGCTGTTTTATTTCGCGTATGATTTTTCTGGTCTCTGCCGCTAGGGGATGGAGGGGAACGCTTTGTGCTATTGTCTGGAGTGCAGACATGGAGTCGCTATAAATGTGACAATTAAGCGCAGGATGTGTTAGCGCATACGTGGATGCTTCTCGAATAGCGAGCAACTCCGCCTGGAAGACGGTGCAGAAGTTTCCCAACTTTAATTTTCGGGTACTTGTCTCCGCTGCATCATTCCAAATGGATAATGCAGCGCCGACTTTCCCCTCAATTTTGCTGCCATCGGTGTATATCTTAAGGCCTTTATTGTCATGTTGGTCCACTTTTGCACCGTCCTCCAGACATATATATTGCAGGCCATATTCGTCTGCTGGGTGTGGCATCATTGCGTATTCCACCTTTTTCTCCATGTCCCGATCCTCTACTACTCGCCGGGAATAGCCTTTCTTTACCTCATAAAGCGAGGCTGCTTCCCGGACCCTCAAGTCCAAAGGAAGCAGCCCGGCCAGTAGCAGAGCCGAGTGTAGGGAAACGGTTTTATACGCTTTGACTATTTTTTGTACGAACCCACGTTGCACTATATCAAGCTGTTTTTTAGTCATTAACTTGTTCGATGCTGGTACCCATGCGCTTGCCGCATACAAAATAATAGGCTCTATTACCGCTATGTATATGGTCCTGACAATCTCGGAATTCAAGCCCCAATGAATCTTTGCGGCCCTACACAGCTGACGATACAGGTTTTGTACCTTACAACACACATTTTTGACATGCGCGTTGAAGGTCAGCCCATCGTCAACTGTGAGGCCGAGTATTTTTATTTCTTTAGACAGGCCTATGCTTTCCCCGCCCATCTTCAGAAGTGGTGAGTCATATTTGATCTTATTGGTGATGATCATGGCTTTTGTTTTCTGCGGAGCAAATTTAAGCTTGTTTTTGACTCCCCACCTCCGAACATGTGCGAGGGCCGCATTGGCCCGTTCCTGCACGTCCAGTGCTTTATCTCCCGAGAAGATCAGGACCACATCATCTGCGAAGGCCTGACAATGTTCCCCTTTATCGTTCAACTCTTGCAGTAGTGGATCTAGTAATAGGTTCCAAAAAATTGGACCACCTATTGAGCCCTGCACGCACCCTTTTGAGGTCTTCTTGACCCATTCTGCCCCAGAATACTTGACGCAGACTGACCTATCCTTAAGATAGCTGTCAATCAGCCGCCTCAAGTTTATCGGGCATCCGGTCTTTGCAAGTGCACATCGTACAGCTGGCCACCAAGCGTTGTCAAAGGCTCCCTCTATGTCAAGTGATACAAGTAAAACCAATTTTTTACTTTTGATTTTAGCTTTTATATGCTGCATCATTTCATAGAGGGAGTCCTCTGTGCTTCGCTGCGGCATGAAGCCGTATTGGTTTTTGCTGATTTTTGGTACGATGTGCCACTTGATTCGTCGAATGGTCATCTTTTCGAATATCTTCCCTAATACAGGCAAAAGCCCAATCGGCCTGTAAGATTTAGGGTGCGTGTAGTCCTCTTTGCCCGGTTTTCGTAGCACCACTACTGCCGCCTCCTTCCATTTGCCGGGGAAATGTGCGAGTTCCAGACATTTGTTAGCCACTGCCAAGAACAGTGTCGGGTTCAGTTTTATGGCAGCCGCGCAGATATCAGCTGTGAGACCGTCGTTTCCAGGAGCTTTCTTGGGATTGAAGCTGGACGCGGCCCACAGAAGGGTTAGGTTAGGTTAGGTTAGGTTAGGTTCCCCCCCGAACGGGTTCCCGCCTTGTCGTGGCGGGGGGGCTTAGTAGCCGTGGCTTGGTCAACCACGGTGAACGAAGAGGAACCCCTTGGCTGGCCCGAGGTGTAGGGCCGGCCCGAGGTGGCCACTCCGAGTGGGCTTGGGAAGCCCACTTCGGATGTGTGTCGGGGGGCTGTGGTGAGAGGGGAGTCTGCAACCCTCTACCGCTGCAGCCGAGGTGGAGTCGCGGAGGAAGAGGAGTGTTGGTATGGCGATGCGCCACTCGCCCTATCCTCCGCGACTCAGACGGGGCCGCACCGTTGAATGATGCGGTGGTGGTGGGGCTGCGGGGGGAGAGGAGTGTCGGTATTGCGAGGCGCCGCTCTCCCTACCCTCCGCGGCCGAAACTTGGTTGGCGGCGGAGCCAGAGACCAGATCCGCCGCTGGGGTCGGGAAAGCGGGCGCTATTAAGCGCTCGATTTTCCTGGCCCCATGGCCTCCGCGTATCGAACTCGGGGGGGTCCGATACGCAGGTGGAGCTGGAGGCTGTGGAGGGGGGTAGCTGAACACCTCGCTACCCCGGGCAGGAGACGAGGCCCGAACAGACCGGGCTAGCACTAGTGCGGGGCTGCGGAAGAATTTGGATTCCCGCGGCCCCGCGCGCACGTGCGAGGAGGCATCGTGGGGTTTTAGCCGGTAGGAGTCCGGCATAACCTTCCGGTTGCCCCCGCAGCCGGAGGTATCCATGAGGATTTCCCCACGTAAAAAAAAAAAAAAAAAAAAAAGGTTAGGTTAGGTTAGGTTAGGTTAGGTTAGGTTAGGTTGGGTTAGGTTCCCCCCCGAACGGGTTCCCGCCTTGTCGTGGCGGGGGGGCTTAGTAGCCGTGGCTTGGTCAACCACGGTGAACGAAGAGGAACCCCTTGGCTGGCCCGAGGTGTAGGGCCGGCCCGAGGTGGCCACTCCGAGTGGGCTTGGGAAGCCCACTTCGGATGTGTGTCGGGGGGCTGCGGTGAGAGGGGAGTCCGCACCCTCTACCGCTGCAGCCGAGGTGGAGTCGCGGAGGAAGAGGAGTGTTGGTATGGCGATGCGCCACTCGCCCTATCCTCCGCGACTCAGGCGGGGCCGCACCGTCGATTGATGCGGTGGTGGTGGGGCTGCGGTGGGAGAGGAGTGTCGGTATTGCGAGGCGCCGCTCTCCCTACCCTCCGCAGCCGAATCTTGGTTGGCGGCGGAGCCATAGACCAGATCCGCCGCTGGGGCCGGGAAGGCCGGTGCTTCTGAGTGCTAGTTTTTCCTGGCCCCATGGCCTTCGCGCATCGGATACGGGGGCGTCCGTTGCGCATGTTTAGTTGGAGGCCGAGGAGGAGGGCGCGCCATGTGTTCTGGTGCGCCTTACCTGAGAGGGAGATGGGGGAGGAGTAGTCCTCTCCCGAGGAGGGGCCGCCATGGGGCGGCCAGCGCAGGTGGGGCCGCGGATGTGTGCGAAAGCGTTCCCGTGGCCCTGCCAATATGCGACGAGGGTGGAACACCATGGGGTTTTAGTCGGTGCGAGTCCGACATAACCCGTCCTTGCCCCCGCGAGGCGGGTATGCGTAGGCATTTCCCCATGTAAAAAAAAAAAAAAAAAAAGGTTGGGTTAGGTTAGGTTAGGTTAGGTTAGGTTAGGTTAGGTTAGGTTAGGTTAGGTTAGGTTAGGTTAGGTTAGGTTAGGTTAGGTTAGGTTAGGTTAGGTTAGGTTAGGTTAGGTTAGGTTAGGTTAGGTTAGGTTAGGTTTTTTTTTTTTTTTTTTTGTATGCTTTGCTGCTTCCCTCTGACATGGGGGTCAGAGACATTGTCAGCTCGACACGGACTTTTAATTCATGTTCTTTTATTTATTTAGTCCTTGATGTTATAAAAGGTGTAGAGGACTCCGGGTTTTCGTTCGGGAGTCCTACTACTCTTAGTCTAGTGCATGCAACAACAATTTCCAATATTTAATGCTGGGGGTAGTGACAACTTATATAATACTTATATGACTTATACTATTTGTTAGTTATTGCTTATGTTCTATTTGATTATTTCTAATACATATTTCAATTTATTTTGTAATGCTGATCTGTAATATAATACAATATATTATGGCAGCATCCTTACTTAAACAGTTTTATTCCTATTTATTACTCTTTTTGCAATTTTCAAACAATAACTCATAAATTTTTCTCTGTATTTACTCATCATTATGATATTTATATTCTCCTTAATTAATTTTAATTCAATTTCGTTTTCTATTTTCAGGCGCTCTGCGGCGTATGCGGGACAATCCAGCAAAATGTGTGGCACAGTTTCTTCAGCATCGCGGTCGCAAATGCACGATGGATTCTCTTTACACTTAAAGCGGTGTAAGTATTCAGAAAATCCACCATGCCCTGTCATGACTTGGGTAGTCTCGCTGCTTGCTTCAAATTTTCTTATTATTCGGTAGGCCACTTTCGCGTCTGGGAAAAACAGCTTCGTGATCTTTCCTGTTTCGCCAGTCTGGTATCTTTGGTTCCATTTGTCTAGCGTTGCCATACGGATGCTTCGCTTGACGAATGAAACCGGGCAAAGATCGTAATCCGGTCTCACTTTGGAATTTTTTGCGGCCTCTTTTGCTAGTCTGTCTGCTCGTTCATTCCCCTCTAAGCCCGCGTGGGCTTTAATCCAAAACAAAGTTACTACTTTGCTTTGGAGAGATATTGCTCTTAAATTATCTCTACATTCCACGGCTAACGGGTGAAGGCAGTTTGGGTTTATGATCGTTTGAAGGGCCGCCATTGAGTCGCTGTAAATTCCAAAGGAGGACGCTCTGTGCTTGAGGATTTGTCCAGTCGCCCTGCAAATGGCCAGGAGCTCGGCTTGGTAAACTGTGCAGTATGTTGGTAGAGCAAGTTTGAGGGCTTTATTTTCGGTCTTGTTTTTCCATTCGGAAAGGGCGGCGCCAACCTTGCCCTCAATCTTGCTCCCGTCAGTAAATATGTGGACGTTTATTTCGCTGTGTTTGTTCACCTGCTCCTCGTTTACCAAACAAATAATTCCTAATTCCAGGCGCTCAGCAGGGTGTGGGCCCTCAAAAGCTGAAGCCATTCTCTCGACCTCTCTTCCCGCCAACACTGGCTGTGGCAGCCCCCTCTTGGCTTCATATAATAAAGCAGCCTCACGGACTCGGAGGTCCAGGGGGAGTATTCCAGCCAGTACTAGCGCCAAATTCAGAGAGACCGTTCGGTAGGCTTTGCATAGTTTTTGCGCGATACCGCGCTGGACTACGGCGAGTTGTTTTATTATCCCCAGCTTTTTTGCAGCCTGTGCCCAAACGCTGGTTAGGTTAGGTTAGGTTAGGTTAGGTTCCCGTGTGGAGTTGCCAGAGCTCCCATCGGGCGCGTCCCCAGGTGGCGGATAGGGGAACGCCACTCAGATATGGGTGGTAGCGGGAAACCGCCGCGGACCAAAACTGGCCGGGTATGGGCGTACCCGTGGTTCCAATAGAACCAGAAACGGCCGGGGCTTAACACCCTAAGAGACGGGCCTTCACAGGCTTGTTGTTGCTCTCGGTATCGCTCTTTGATTAGAGCGAACACGGGATGCAACACACGCGGCGATGTGCCAAGCGCACCAATGCTGGGTGACCCCGCGCGGTAATGTGCCAAGCGCACCGATCCCGGGCGATCTCTGTGCGGCGATGTGCCAAGCGCACCTATGCCGGACAACCCGTAAGCCCACTAGGGCCCGGGGGCCCCCGCAGGGCCGCGAGGAAGACAACCTCTACAAAAATAACCCTAATCCTAAGGTCTAAGGTGCCGATGGGATGAATGGCTGGGGGGGAGCCCAGTCCCAAGCCTATGGGAGGGGGGATTCAGGGACCATACCCTGTAAAAAAAGGAAAACTATGACATGCAGTGCGACAAGAAAAATACTCCCCAGGGTGGTCCTGTCAACCCTGTTGTTGGCGGGGAATCCACCCCCAGTAGCCTAACTAGGCTCTGTGGCAGCCCCAACGTATCTGGGGGGGGCAATCCGCTGCATTGCGGTGATGCACCAGCGTTAACCGCGGGCCCCATAACATCAGAGGGCCAATCTCAAAAAGCAGGAGCCGTGTCGGAGACACCACCAATATCGGCACGAGACAAGCGTGGGCGTTTTAAGCGACCTAACACTACAAGCAGTCAGGCCGGTGAGAGCGACGCTGATGGTGGGTCTGATGGCTCGTTCGTGTCGCTCACATCGGTAGGAGGTCGAAAACGAAAAGCGAAGCCTCCGAGTACGTCAGTTGTGGCGGCTAAATTCACGGCGGTCCCAGTTGCAGCCTCTGGAGGAGAGAGTGCGACAGGGGCTGAAACAGAAGAAGACCTATTTGATCCTTTCATAACACCCACTAACACCAGGGCAAAGAAGAACCTTCCGGGCCCGGAAACGTTAGCCCGTGAAATGCGTTCTCACGGAGACGTGGAACTCAGTCGGGATATTGATTTTCACCTCCAAGTTCTAGAAAAAGTTGCCGATCGATCCCGTAACCTCAAAGGAGAGTATGTTCGTGGCATAAGGTTGGCTGTGCGTAACATTAAAGCGGCGGCAGAAGAACTCGCGCGAAGGACCGACTCAAATGATAACGTCGCCAGACTGGAGAGAGAGAACGCAGAGTTGCGTTCCCAGCTTTCCAGTCTTTCGACGAAGACGGAAAGACTTACACAAGAGATTAGCCTTCTCCGCAAACAGATGCAGGAACGGTCTACCTTGCCAACTCAGCTAGTACCTGCGGCATCCAAACCTAGGAGCGGGAAAGAAGAACTCATGGCAGACATAGGGGCTCTAATAGACAGGAAGCTGGCGGCCTTCCATGCCAGATTGATTCCTGAAAGGACATCAGCCAACCAGCAGCTGACACCGCGGGAACAGCTGCCAGCATCAATGAGAGTAGGATGTCCGCAGTCGCAGCCATTGACATCACTACCGCAGCCGAAAAAGAAAAAGAAGCGAAG